ATAGATAGATAGATAGATAGATAGATAGATAGATAGATAGATAGATAATGTATCAGGACATGGAATGATGTACATCACAGTGCTTGTTACTGTATGCTGACACAAAAGTTTGTTTTTCATTGTACAGTGTGATGGCATCTGTCCCTTTGACAGCAGGCAGTAAAAGAAATGCCCTGTCTTTAACATCAATCTTCTGATAAACAGACGTTTAGGTAACAAAGTTAATTCATTAATGTCAGAGAGAGGCTGCTGGGACTCAAAATTCAATGTGCAAGCAGTCTCCATTAACACAAGAGGGAAGAGTAACACATTCCTAGAGATTTGTGACAGTTTAAGTTATCATTAGTTTGTTGGTGTCCACCATTTCTTATAAATCTAACCATTATAATGGTGTACAACTTGAATTCACAGTCACATGACAGATTAGAAACCATGACAGCACAGTAATGGAAAGCTCATTATCTTAGCCTTGATATTTTTTGTTAAAATTACGTTGCCATCCATCCATCCATCCATCCATCCATTCTCCTCCGCTTATCCGGGGTCGGGTCGCGGGGGCAGCAGCCGGAGCAGGGAAATCCAGACTTCCCTCTCCCCGGCCACTTCGGCCAGCTCCTCCGGGGGGATCCCGAGGCGTTCCCAGGCCAGCCGGGACACATAGGTGAGGGATCAGACGAAGCGCAGCCCAGAAGACCCTTATGAAGAGAGACAAAATTGGATCCAATGTTCCCTCGCCCGGGCGCGGGCTACCGGGGCCCCCCCCTGGAGCCAGGCCCAGGGGCGGGGCACCATGGCGAGCGCCTGGTGGCCGGGCCTTCACCCATGGGGCCCGGCCGGGCCCAGCCCGAAGAGGAGACATGGGTCCCCCTTCGCACGGGCCCACCACCCGTGGGAGGGGCCATAGGGGTCGGGTGCGCTGTGCCCTGGGCGGCGGCCGGAGTCGGGGATCTTGGCGGACTGATCCCCGGCTGCAGAAGCTGGCTCTAGGGACGTGGAACGTCACCTCTCTGGCGGGGAAGGAGCCTGAGTTAGTGTGCGAGGCGGAGAGATTCCGGCTGGACATCGTCGGTCTCGCCTCGACACACAGCTCTGGCTCTGGAACCAGCCTTCTTGAGAGGGGTTGGACGCTTTGCTACTCTGGAGTTGCCCCCGGTGAGAGGCGCCGAGCAGGAGTGGGCATACTCATTGCCCCCCATCTTGGTGCCTGTACGTTGGGGTTTACCCCAGTGAGCGAGAGGGTAGCATCCCTTCGCCTGCGGGTGGGGGGACGGGTCCTGACTGTCGTTTGTGCCTATGCGCCTAGCGGCAGCACAGAGTACCCACCCTTTTTGGAGTCCTTAGAGGGGGTACTGGAGGGTGCCCCCTCTGGGGACTCCCTCGTTTTGCTGGGGGACTTCAACGCTCACGTGGGCAACGACAGTGGGACCTGGAGGGGCGTGGTTGGGAGGAATGGCCCCCCCAGCTTGAACCCGAGCGGTGTTCTGTTTTTGGACTTCTGTGCTCGGCACGGATTGTCCATAACGAACACCATGTTCAAACATAAGAGTGTCCATATGTGCACCTGGCACCAGGACACTCTAGGCCGCAGTTCAATGATCGACTTCGTTGTCGTTTCAGCTGATCTGCGGCCGCATGTTTTGGACACTCGGGTCAAGAGGGGGGCGGAGCTTTCCACCGACCACTACCTGGTGGTGAGTTGGCTCCGATGGCGGGGGAGGATGCCGGTGAGACCCGGGAGGCCCAAACGTGTTGTGAGGGTCTGCTGGGAGCGCCTGGCGGAGTCCCCTGTTAGGCGGAGCTTTAACTCCCACCTCCGGGAGAGCTTCGAACACGTTCCGGGGGAGGCGGGGGACATTGAGTCCGAGTGGGCCGTGTTCCGCGCCTCCATCAATGACGCGGCATCCCAGAGCTGCGGTCGCAGGGCTGTCGGTGCCTGTCGTGGCGGCAACCCTCGAACCCGCTGGTGGACACCGGCGGTGAGGGATGCCGTCAGGCTGAAGAAGGAGTCCTATCGGGCCTTTTTGGCCTGTGGGACTCCGGAGGCAGCCGATGGGTACCGGCAGTCCAAGCGACGTGCGGCTCGGGTGGTCGCCGAGGCAAAAAACCCGGGCGTGGGAGGAGTTTGGGGAGGCCATGGAAAAAGACTTCCGTACGGCCTCGAGGCGATTCTGGTCCACCATCCGGCGTTTCAGGGGGGGGAAGCAGTGCCCCACCAACACTGTTTACAGTGGGGATGGTGTGCTGTTGACCTCAACTCGTGACGTTGTGGGTCGGTGGGCGGAGTACTTCGAGGACCTCCTCAATCCCACTGGCGCGTCCTCCGTTGGAGGGGCAGAGCCTGGGGATCCGGAGTTTGGATCTCTAATCTCCGGGGCTGAAGTCACTGAGGCAGTCAAAAAGCTCCGCGGTGGCAAGGCCCCGGGGGTGGATGAGATCCGGCCGGAGTTCCTTAAGGCTTTGGATGTTGTGGGGCTGCGTTGGCTAACGCGACTCTGCAACATCGCGTGGACATCAGGGGCAGTCCCGCTGGATTGGCAGACTGGGGTGGTGGTCCCCCTATTTAAAAAGGGGGACCGAAGGGTGTGTTCCAACTATAGGGGGATCGCACTCTTTTTTTTTTTATTTTATTTTATTTTTTTTTTATTTTTAAAGATTTTGTTGGCTCTAGTGGCCTTTAATGACAGTAGCTTGACAGGAAAGGGGGCAAAGATGGAGAGGGGGGAGACCTGCGGGAAAGGGCCATGGGCTGGAATCGAACCCAGGACACCCGCTTTCGAGCAAAGGCTCTGTATATGGGCCGCCCGCTCTAGCCATTAGGCTAAGGCTGCGGCCCCAGGGGATCGCACTCTTAAGCCTCCCTGGGAAGGTCTATTCAGCGGTTCTGGAGAGGAGGGTCCGTCGGATAGTCGAGCCTCGGATCGAGGAGGAGCAGGGTGGTTTTCGTCCTGGCCGTGGAACGCTGGACCAGCTCTATACCCTCAGCGGGGTCCTAGAGGGTGCATGGGAGTTCGCTCAACCAGTCCACATGTGTTTTGTGGACTTGGAGAAGGCGTTCGACCGTGTCCCTCGGGGTATCCTGTGGGGGGTGCTCCGGGAGTATGGGGTACCTGGCCCCTTGTTACGGGCTGTTCGGTCCCTGTACGACCGGAGTCAGAGTCTGGTTCGCATTGCCGGTAGTAAGTCGGACTCGTTTCCGGTGGGAGTTGGACTCCGCCAAGGTTGCCCTATGTCTCCGGTCCTGTTCATAACTTTTATGGACAGGATTTCTAGGCGCAGCCGAGGTGTTGAGGGTGTCAGTCTTGGTGGCCTTAGGATCGCATCTCTGCTTTTTGCAGATGATGTGGTCCTGTTGGCTCCATCAAGTCGGGACCTACAGCTCTCACTGGAGCGGTTTGCAGCCGAGTGCGAAGCGGCTGGGATGAGGATCAGTGCCTCCAAGTCCGAGACCATGGTCTCTCACCGGAAAAGGGTAGAGTGCCTTCTCCGGGTCGGAGCAGACGTCCTTCCCCAAGTGGAGGAGTTCAAGTATCTCGGGGTCTTGTTTGCGAATGGGGGTAGGGAGCGTGAGATCGATAGGCGGATCGGTGCGGCGTCTGCAGTAATGCGGGCGCTGTACCGGTCTGTCGTGATGAAGAGAGAGCTGAGCCTAAAGGCGAAGCTCTCAATTTATTGGTCGATGTACGTTCCCACCCTCGTCTATGGTCACGAGCTTTGGGTAGTGACCGAAAGAACGAGATCGCGGATACAAGCGGCCGAAATGAGTTTCCTCCGCAGGGTGGCTGGGCTCTCCCTTAGAGATAGGGTGAGAAGCTCGGCCATCCGGGAGGGGCTCGGAGTAGAGCCGCTGCTCCTCCACGTGGAGAGGAGCCAGTTGAGGTGGCTCGGGCATCTGATCAGGATGCCTCCTGGTCGCCTCCCTGGGGAGGTGTTCCGGGCTCGTCCCACCGGGAGAAGGCCCAGAGGAAGACCCAAAATTACGTTGCCGTGAAACATATTTAGTGCTAAACAGTTCATCAGAAGACTTCATTGTAAGTTGATTTAAGGGACACTGCGTGATTTCCTTTGGCCTCCTGAAATTAGGAGTTTCTTGGATAATGTTTTTAACTCCATCTGTCGACATGTTCCTGCCCATATTCATTGGTAATTCAAATTATATATAGATTTATATGCATTCCCTGCAGTCTTTTTTTATTTATTTATTTATCTTTAGATTTTAGGATCATTAATAAGAAATATAAAAAATAATGGCTACTTGAAGTAAAATATGTATCTTTATATTGACAATTATCTAAAATTGCACTAATTCTATATCTTTTGAAGACTAACTGTCATTGTGTATGGACAATTCAGTTTTCGTGGATAACATTTGTTTTCAAATTTATTTTTCCACGTCTGTGTGTTCTATCACTCTGTCTTTTTTTTTGTTCATATCTAATTCATATCTGAAATAAATACAAATTCTAAATTACTTGCAAGTGTATGGAAGCGCTTTCCAGTGAATACAATGTTCTTCTGTAGCTTCAAAATGTTTTTTTTTCTATACTATTTTACTGCCGGTGTTAATGTATTGATGGACAATACAAAAACATTTAATGAAAAGTAAATCTGCTGGAAAATCATTGACGACATTGACATAAACTGTGTTACTTTCATGTGAGCCCTGCAATGGACTGGCGGACCGTCCAGGGTGTACCCCGCCTCTCGCCCACTGACTACTGGGTTAGGCTCCAGTCCCCCAGCGACCCCAATAGGGAATACGCGGTTACAAAAATGGATGGATGAATGGATGGACTTTTATTTGGAAACTACGTGGCCCATCGTGCATTTCGCGGAAACATCCTCAACTTCCGGTGTGAAGGGTTAAAAGGCTAATGTTTTGATCAGAACTCTTCCCCATTTGGCGTCAGTTGGCGTCTTTGGACTTGTTGCATAGATGTAAATGCTTATATATTAGTTAGTTATACTTTTAATGGACGCTTTGCACAAACACCGCTCGCTTTATAAGAGCACCACCCCGCCATGGAAAGAAACTTATCGCAAGGCGAGTACGACACTATGTAAATACATTTGAGACAGCTAGCTAGCTAGCATCTACAAAAGCAGCTAGTTGTTGTGTAAATTCTAACTTAGTCATGTTGGGTTTATCCTTTTGTCTTTTAAAGCGATGTGTAGACAGGCTAAAGAACAGCCGGTCCAGGCTGCTGGAGAGATACCGGCAGGGCGGAGAGAGCGTCCGAGCCTCCATCATCGTTCAGGAAGTGATGGAGGAGGAGTGGACCGCTCTGCAGTCGGAGGACCAGAGGCTGCCCTCGCTGTGGGGGCCACAGGGCAAGACAGAGGTCGGGTTCTGTCTCATAGAAATGAGTTGTATTTAACTTTGTTTGTTAATCTGATCAATTTCCTTATTAAACAGATGCTCAATATTATGAGGGAGTATGACGAGCTGGCGGTGCTTGAAGAAATCCAGCAGGAGCTCATAGCCCAAGGTACTTCATGGCCATGTTATCCTTTCAAACAATATTTCACACCAGCAGATGAGTCAGTCTGACAAATGCTAACTGAACCATGTAAGCATTTGTCTGGTTTTCTTTGTGCCACAGAAATGTCCATAATAGAAGAGTATGAGAGGAACCAGCAGTTAGAACAGCAGTATATATCATCCATGGTGGAAGGAATGGAGGGAATGCATATTATTTGCCCAATATGTCGCACGTAAGTCTAAAATATTCACTGCATTGGTTTACAACCTTTTGGCAAATGTTACATGTATACATTGTCTGTTGAAATTAGTTATCTTGATAATCTTTATCAATCTAACAGGAACAACCTGCTCATCAACAGCTATTTTATCTCCTGTCCTTGTGGACTTTACATCAACACTAAGGTTTGTCCCTTGGCATTTTTTTTTTTTAATTTATTATTATTTTTTACTTGTTTGATGTAAGTTATTTGATGTTTAGAAGCACCATTTACAATAACTCAATAGATGAGCTGTTATTGTATCTACACATGGTGGACCACTTTGCAAAGAACTAAGATAAGATTCCATCTCTGTCCACGTTTTTAC